ACTTTTCTAAGGAAGATCATGTAGAGCTTAGAGTGGTCCCATTTTATAGTTCAGATTTCCCTCTACACTGGACTATACTCAGTTCATACTATACTACTAGAAATTTTTTACAAGAAAGAGGGGAAGAGAGATACCCTTAATCCAACTGAAACTACTAAACTCCATTTTAATTTACAATGTCAGCAAACATGTGGTTTTTAATAATTGTGTTTTAATGATTCATTACGCTATTTGACATCATCAACTAAAGTATATAAGAATTTACATGGTTTTTTTTTCACGCATCTAAATGAAGTTTTAATCTCGCTCTATTATTCTATGATAATGATCATCGACATTCTTTTTTTTCTCTTTTTCTTCCCAAATTAAACTATTTTATATTCATCTATACTTTCTATTCATTGTCTAAATTATGTTGTTAGTCATTTGATACTATTATTCTACTAGCTATAGACTTGATATATATAGAGAGAGATATAGATATAGATAACAATGAGTTGCTCAATTTTTATTAGTATTTTTCTTAAGCGTATATATATACGGCTATAATTAAAACAAATGAGATGCATAGATCAGTGTAGTTTACTCTTTGAACGGAAGGGAAAAGAAAAAGAAATGATATTTACTTGCACAATATAGCGTCATCACATCGACTCTAGAGGAGAAAGTAATTAATTGATTCGATCAAATTTTTGAAGAACAAATTAAAGTTGATGAGCTCGTGTCATTCATCGTCAGTTTGTAATATAAGAATTATATCTAAATCATTTGCTTTGATTATATAATTTGAGATTTGTAAATAAAAATACTCTCGTTCAATCGACTAGACATCTATGATAAAAGACCATTTTATTTTTTGTGTTATCCACTTAGAAAACATTCATTAGAATTTTTTTTTTCAACATAATTTTTACAAAACAAAAAAAGAACTTGACCTGAAATGTAATGGAACTGAATGACTGAGTGTATTTCTACCATCAAATCAAGCCTATTTTAAAACGGAGTAAATACAATGTTAATAAAGTGCTTCTTTTGTTTTGTGTTGCTGTTGAAATATAATGTTTAAAAAGTACTTGTGAGTTTGTTCAATCATTATAGATTCATAAAAAGTATACACAAAAAACTAAAACGTCATAAAACATCTACATAGTTATGTGTACATATCATCTAGAAAATAAATAAGAAGAGTGTAATCAAAAACGATAGAAGTCTTCAAATCAATCATGCAGACAATTTCCATATGAAATTTATATATTTAGATATGGTACTGTCCTATTAAGATTCAACTAGTTTCTCAATCCATATCACTAGTAGTCAAAGTTGAAATCTATTTTTCTAACTACCCCGGTAAAAAGTCGGATCAAACCAGATTCAAATAAGTCCTGTCGGATTCGATCGGTCATATTTAGTCTAAGTAGCTGGGAAAAAAAGTAGTAACCGGTCGAAAAACAATTGAAAACTAAGTAGTCAAATCTTTGACTAGATATTCAGATTAGTCAATTAATTTGACTATATTCTACTGGCCCAAGTCACCCTCACCCCTCACCCCTCACAAATCTTGTCAAATTATCTTACATATCACAGATTTCATATGATCATACAAGATTTTACAAGATTTCATATGAATCAGTCTCCCTAATTCTACATAAGATTTTTCTTATAACCAGATTTTACAAGACCTTGCAAGAAAGTGTGTAATAGGATCTTGTATGATCATGCAAGAAGTGACAACATCTTACAAGATTTCATGAGATCACGTAAGAATTCATCAGATCTTACAAGGTTATGTGCCTGATCGTGTTCTGTAAATTTCCTCTAGACCCTCTTAAAAGAGGTATCTTTCTCTATTCATAAGGTTTTCTAGCATCGATAGGATACAGACGTTCTTAGGATCGTGCCTAACCACGTTCCTTATACTTATGCACTTTATTTGTGCTCGGTTCCCAGGTTAAAAAATCAGATCAAGATCTTACAAGGTCTTAAAAAGTCTTACGGAAAATCATACAAGAATCTTATGAAATCTGATGAAATCTTACCACAAGATCTTACATCAAGAATCAGTTTCTATGTTTCTTACAGAATCTTACAAATTCTTATACGAATATTCACGAAATCAGACGGAGTCGTACAAGAATCTTATAAGATCTCACAGCAAGATTCTTTTACCTGGGTAGCTCTTATGACAAAACTTAAAATTTTTCCTTTCTTCGACTTCTCAGGTCAAAGAATCTTGCTGTAAGATCTTATAAGATTCTTGTACGATTCCGTCTGATTTCGTAAGATTCGTATAAGAATTTGTAAGATTCTGTAAGAAACATAGAAACTGATTCTTGATGTAAGATCTTAATAGCAAGATTTCGTAAGATTCTTGTATGATTTTCCGTAAGATTTTATAAGATCCTGATCTGATATTTTGACCTGGGTATGGTAGCAAAATTTATGTAGTAAGAATGAATTATCACTTCTTATAAGATATTGTAACAAGAAATAGTATGATCTTATGATAAGAGCTTAATATGAGTATACGCTCTTACTAACAAGACCTTGGAATATCATATAATCTCTTGTTACATAATCTTATAAAATCTTAACATTTTTTATAAGCTGATCTTGTAAGTTCTTATGACAAGAAGTTACAATATTCCGCAAGATCATACATGATCTTGACCTGCAAGGTCTAGCCCAGAGCTGGAACTGGCTCGGTAAACCGGCACCGAGCCGGTAGAGACGGGTTTTTCACCGGTTGAAACTTTTGAAACACCTGCTTTTTTTACTCTCTTTTTCGTCAAAAAACTAAAATTTCACGTCTTTTTCAGTCAGAATCAATAAAATAATGCTCAAGACAGATATTATTTCCATCATTTGTTTTAAGGTTAATTGTTATTGACTCGTTATTGTGAAGGTTCTCCCACATGTGCTCGCAAACTATTTCGTTTCTTGGAGAAATTCTTTCTGAAAATCAATTTTCAAAAAACTTCGCCAGTTTTACGCCGGCATTTTACCAGTTTTCGCCGGTTTAAGTTATAATTCCATCCGGTCAGCTTACCGGTTCGGTTACATTCTCAAACCGACCGAACGGGACTGATTCACCGTTTCTCAACCGGTTCCAGCTCTGGTCTTGTCAAAACGTCTTGTAGCCAGATTGCATAAGAAATCATCCGATCTTATAAGATTTAGTCAGACGTCTTTCATCTGGGCTGGGAAGACAAGCAGAAAGTTTTGTGTCACGCGTGCTGACGGTGCAAATAACGAAGAGAAGGTGCGTGTACGTTTCAATTAAATGCTTCATGTGCGTCAGCGATCGATCATTTATCCTTCGCAGTGTGAATAAAAATAATAACTGATTTTCACGAGTGGGTACAAGTGATGACATGGATTTACTTCATGTTCGCGGGTGAAAGAAACTGTTTCACTCGTGTTCACAAATTAACATTTAAAAAAGTAGTGGTTTGTGCCATCAACACTATAAAAAATATTCAACTCGTGTTCATATCGTGTATGACACATCAGAAAGCAGTTTGTCGATTTAGGTTTTGATTATCACATAATTAATCCCACAAAATGAGTATATATTTTATAGGGCTTAACCGTTTTCTCTATGAGATAATTGATAGTCACGTGATACTTAACGGTGAATAAGGTATATATTCTCTTTATATAGCAGTACTTGCTGCATAGCGTACGATAAGATGATGAAGCAGCTGATGCATGCTTCTTACGTGTGTAATAGATTTGACTATTAAATCTCTGAATACCAATTATGAGAGTGAATAGACGAAAAGCAGATGGCTAATTGTTAGAGTCTGAGACAAATAATGGCATTCTAACAATTAAATAATATAATGGTATTGAATAGGGAGATACAAAATGAAACACAATCTGAAGTTTTTTAATTTTTATTTAACCATAGTGTTGAAGGTTCAATGTAAAGAAGAGAGAAGATATAATTAGTCATCAAGTAATACGTACAGAAAGGACTCTCTGGGGGCGGGAAAAAGATTTCTAACGAATTCGAGGCTGCCTAGGCGATTCAAATGGTGTCTAAAGTGTCTCCAAGAAACATTTTGATTCGTAATAAGTTGACTGGATGCGTGTGTGCATATCATCAAAAGAAGTTTAGCTCCAATCCGTTCCAAAGAAAATTCCCCAAAATTCAGATTCTAAAAATCCTACATTTGTAGAAGCCATGTTAAACATTTTTGCATCATTTAATCAGATAGAGAAAAAATTTGTATTACAAATGAATCGTTCTACAGCTTTTCATGACTTCTTTTTCACTAAATTATGAGTTTTACACTAAAAGCTCCAAAGCTTATGACAGCCTATGACTAGCCTATAACAATTCTTTGTTCATAATAGTTTCTTTGTCTTTGTTCATATCATAGCTGAGTGGGGAAAGGCTTCACTTTATGGGTAATTTCTGCGAAAAGTGATCATTTAGATAACTTAGGTTGAGTGTTTATAATCTTATTAATCTCTCTCATTAGTGTCGAACTTGTTTTACAATTACGTAACCATGTATCGCTTTCCCGAAGTGTACTCAAACATTCTTTAAGGCATATTTTAGAAATATTGGGGAGGTAAAATGAGTAACTGGTAAGCAAAGGATTATTTCTTTTTTTCCTTCTTCTCTCATGACGTAATTAGATGAGTCATGAGTACAATACTTATGGTACAAAAAAACTGTAAATAGGGTTTTTTAAAGCAATAATGATGATTTTAGTTTCGACATCATTCTCAATTGAGAAAGAATGATTTTTATTCCTGCAATGCTGAACTGTCTATCTTTAGCGGTATTTGTCCTTTCTCCTTTTGTATGAATAATAACGTGATGATATGTATGAGTCATGTTTTTGTTGGAGAAAAAAATGGGACATTTTTTATTACACATCAGATTGAAAGAAATAAAATTACTATAAATATCATGGTATGGTGATGTTACCAGTCCTTTTTTTATTACTTTTCATACACGTTTCAAAAACAATTTTCTCGTAAACAAAATGCCTGCTGAAAAGAACTTAACTATTCATTCAATAACAAATTCAAATGGTGATACTGACGACAGTAAGTAGAACTTTAATTTATTCAGCCTTCTCTAAATTCATGTTCCTTACGACGACTATAGTCAGACAAGACCACTATTACGAGAAGAAGAGTGCTTTATAACAATGGATGCATCCTTTCTGTTCAAATAATGCAGAGTTTAATAAGGCATTTAGATTTTCATTCGAAGAAGATTGTCTACTTATTTTTTCTATCTCGTTTTAGGTGTCGATGATGAAGAAATACCCATACCATTCTCTTCCTCGTTGAAATTACATCGTTTACAATATACATGGATCCATTGGTTTCTCCAAGCTTCCGGGACAAAACCATGGGCTGAGTGTTTGATTGCTATTAATAAAAAACCAATGGCCTATGTAGAAGATTTTTGGGCTACAATCAATCATCTTCGTCCACCAAGTCAATTAACATTTGAGTGTGATTATTATTTATTTCGAAGTGATATTCCACCTCTGTGGGAATCACCTACAAACAATGGTAGGTATACATTTGAATTTACCATTTCCTTTCTCTTTGTTAACTTCTCTTTCTTTCTCAATTTTTAGGCGGTGGACGGTGGCTATTGAGTGTACCACAATATATAGCTGATAGATATTGGGATGAAACATTATTAGCATTAATCGGTGATCAATTTATCGAGGAATCAGACGAAAATACCAGTATACCACCGTTAACTGATTTTATACATGGATGTGCAATTCAGTTCAAAATGCAACGGGACAACCGTCATTACAATCGTAGTGGTGATGGAAACCGATCAAATATGAAATTAGCATTATGGACAAAGTCAGCCGATAATGGTCAGATACAAAGTTTAATTGGACGACGATGGCGAAATATACTAGAAAGAAATCAAGAAAGGGGCGAGCAAGTCCCACAGTTAACATTTTACGCACATACAGATCCAAAACAAAGGCTATTTACTGCTTAATTTGTTAGAATGTTGATTGTGTTTATAACAAGAATGTTTTTCTTTTTATCATGATTCTAATTTCGAACATTTTTCGCATATCTGTTGTTATTGTTGTTATTCTGTTTTTTTATTTCCGTTTTATTTCTTTAAAAAAACAATTTTCGTATCTTTCTTGTACATTTGTTTTACTATGTAAGCTTTTTTTGCTGTTATGAGATCTTGCATTCTTTTTGTTAATATTTTAACATTTTATTGCTGAGCAATGAATCTTTTATAAATAAAAATATGGAAAATGTTCCTAAATACGTTATTTATAATCTATTAGAGTCAAGTGATGAAATTTACAGTTAGATGTTTGGATTGACTTTGAATCATTGAAGTTAACAAATAATTCACAGAGAGAAGAGAAAAAGTTTTAGCATTGTGTGTTCACTTTTGATCGTTTGAAAATATTTTCGAAAAGTTGACTTTTACTTAGGGCTATCCAAAAGTAGTGAGGGAGGTACTATTTTTTCTTATAGAAAGCTTGAAAAATTTTTCTTTTTTTATGAACAGATATGTTATGATCTGCCTTCCCCGGCAGCTCATAAGGTTCATGCTCCCTCCATTCTGCTCTTGTACCATTCTTGCGCAACTCTTGTTTCATTCTTTCGTTTTCGTTCCTTCCCCAGTGTGTTTTTCCAACTCTTTCTATTCTTGCGCAACACTTGCATCATCCTGTGGTTTTCCTAACTCTTTCTGTTCTTATGTAACTCATGCGCAACTCTTGCAAAACTCTTGTTTAACTTTTGTACTATATATAGCCGTTCATTTGCTTCAAATAAAAGATATAGAAGTGAGAATTGGATCTCACAGTAACTTCACTTCTACCATTAGAGTTAGTCACTAGAGGATCCATATCTTCACAAGATTGAGCGTCTTTTGCTCTATTTTTCTGTGCTATTTGATCACTATTCAACTAATATCATAATGATAAAATTTCGATAAGATCTATTCCTTTCGCATATGTGCTGGTAGCATGAACATGAATGTTCGTGAGTATTTTTTGAATAATGTTTAATAGCAACAAGATAGAGAACTGCGGTTTTCACCATTGGAAAGAGGAGATGAAGACGCATCGAACCATATATTACTGATTGTTCTAACCTGTTTTTTGTGCAAAACGTACTTACGAGCATTCATGCTACCGGAACATATGCGAAAGAAACAGATCTTATCGAAATTTAATCATTATGATATTAGTTGGATAGTGATCAAATAGCATAGAAAAATAGAGCGAAAGACGCTCTATCCGTTCATAAAAACAGAAAAACTTTTCAAGCTTTCTATAAGAAAAAATAGTACCTCCCGCACTACTTTTGGATAGCCCTAAGTAAATTTTATTTAAAGTTTCCCAAAAATAGTGTTGAAGAACGGTGGTACAGTTGTCGACACCCGGTAGAAATTGTTGTCCTGAACAGAATTGTAACAGCAGCGTTTTTCTTTTTTTTGAATTCCTCACCTTTTCGATCTAGAAAATGTAATGAAATTATTTGAAAAACAGTAAAAGACTTCGTCATAGCGTAAAACACAAATTATGAGTTTATTATTTCACTGATTTAAAAACAAACAGCAAACTTTGTATCTATAATGACCAATAAAAGGACTTTGTACATCTATGGAACTGTTATGTTTTAATTCTCCTAATCAGATAAGATCAATAATCTGTCGTGAACGATTGAACTTATAGGATATTTCATACTTTGTTCTAAAATCAATATCTTAGCTCGTACATTTGTACAGTTATTTAGATTAGCTGATCAATAACTGTTTATATTTCTGATAAATCATATTTGGGAAGCGATTTCATATTTCGATCATTTATATCTACAGTACAAAAAAGATTTTTTTAAGAAAAAATACGTATGCAATAATAATCCAAAATATTGTTCCCCAAATAGCCTAAATAATGAAAAAAATAGTTTAATTAAATTATCTTAAAAATGAAAAGATTGAAGTCTAGTTTTACCATTGCTAGATGAGCAGTATGTGTACTAGCTACATTCCACTGCACAGGAAAATAAGTAGCGAATATAAGATGGGATATATAGATTAATATTGAATTTGTTCCTGGATATTGAAATGGACATCCGTTCCATATTTTAAACATATCAATTAAAATATACATCAAAGAAAATAATGCAAAAGCTATGCCACCTATAATGAACAAGTTTTAAAGATTAGAGAGAATTATTTTGAAAACGAATGATTTTAGTTCATTTTGAGCTAATATGAAAAAAATGTCTTAAAATATATAAACCTGTAAATAATGAGAATGATAATGTCCAAAGATTCTTATTCAACGGCATCGGTCCACTATCTAATGTTCCAGCTAAAATTTAAAAAATATTCATTTCTGTTGTTAGTTGATCAATGTCTAAATTTTCTACATGTTACCTGTCAAACCAATTCCAATTGCTGTAGTGACTATACCCCAAGCAATTAATCTTATGAGACGATCCAAATCTCTTTGATACATCACTAATTTTTACGAAAAAATAAAACGGAAATTTTTGTTCTCTTACACGCTTATAATATTTACTCACATAAAATTCTGCCGGCTTGCACGCCCAGATAAGCCAAAAATATTGTTGGTAACGCACCCAGTAAATTTTCTGGATCAAAGGCCTGACTACATCCGTAAACAAGTCGACAAGTTGGATTTCCATAGATATGTTTCTCACTAAATATTTTTCGATCAATATATCCTGTAATTCCTCCGGTACAACTACGGTACAATCCATTTTCATGTATGCCACCAGAACGATAAAATGAAGAAAGACAATTAAACAATCTGTGTTTTTAATTTAATCTTACAAAATATTATGCTGGCTGATGACTGAAAGATAACTTATCAACTAACCTGGTCCTAAATAACCTGCTGGACAGTCTCCGAATGGTACTAAATAAATTATCAACATCCATAGAGTTGTTAATCCGATAATTGTTAGCCATTGTAAGGGAAAATGAATTATGTCCCGAAATATATTTAACAGTCGTTTTGAACTATTCGTAGTTGTTTTTGCTGTGGTCGTTGTTCCCACAGTCGATAAATGATCTGTTGATGATGAAAACATGTGTTTTCTTGCACATAAAACTTCAATCGTCGCTGTTATTCCATAAACAACTGCAAATCGTTGTAAAATACCCAAAATACGCACTTCAGATAAGAAGACTTTAAAACGCGTATTTAAAATAAATCCTAGTAACTAAAAAAAGAGCAAAAATAATTCTCATCAAAAGTCTCGACTTAACAATATTAAACGTATAACTTACAAATAATTTAATGACACGTAATAACACTTTCCAAAGTAAAATTCTTTTGCGCACATTATTATCTAAACTACTTTTCAATGAGAAAGTAATTGACACTCCCATAATCCATACAAACCATGGAAATACAAAGTCTGCAAATGTAATGCCATGCCACGGTACATGGTCAAATTGAGAATAACCACCGCCGCCATAGTTGACAAAAATCATGGATACTAGTGCCACACCACGAAATGCATCCAAACTCAGTAAACGTTTTGAACGAGACACAGTAACATTGGTCGTTTTCAACGGTGGAATTGATTTATGATTTTCGACCGAATCAATGGTCGCTGTTGTTGTTTCATGATGATGATTTGTTATATGAGGAGATATTGCTGATGAACCAACTATAGCTGATGTTACATGCGTTTGTTGTAGATCATAAGATGATTGTGATTGTTGCGATGGTACACGATTAAAAATGCGTTCTTTCATCTTTAATAGTTTCTCAGTTAATTTCACACGTTGAGCAACGATGCAAGCAATAAACAATACTAATACAATAACACCACCAACAATCAAAGGGATATAAATATTATTCGATGAGCGACGCGTTATTAGTGTACATTTTATTCCCGTGTCCAATGAACCGTTAGTTGGTACCGCGCTACCATTTGATTGAATGTTAAATACATATTGACCATGTTCATACAAATTTAACGTTTCGCGACAAACAGTCATATTGTTGAATTCGATCCGTACACGATACGTGTATTTAGTATTAAATGTTAAATTCAGCGCTTGGGAAGGCGGTAAAGCATTTGCAAGTGTTTCATAGGGACAACCCATGCATTCTACTACTTGTATTAATACCATTACATTGCCAGGCAGCTATTCAAAGAAATATTAGGTCTATTAATATAAACGTCAATTCTGCATCAATGCAAACCTACCTGTGCATCAGTAATTATATCTAATGATGCTTCATCAATACCCAATGAATTTGTTGAATTGACTTGAATTGCTCCTGATCTCAGATTGATCAACGTATTTTCACTACTCTCTTCTATAGCGGGAGATGGTTCAGAAGATTCTTTGGTTATGTTTGAATAAGCTCGATTCAATTGGCGATTGATATTCGACGATATCCATCCATGAACTGGATGACATTGTTGATTTCGATCGTAATGGGTAGATTCCATGGACGAACCACCGACATCGTAATAATCATGTTTAAAACATATTACCGATTTTAGTATGACGAATATTAATAGAAAACAATGCATCATGTTTTGTTCCTATATCAACATAGAACGATAACAGATTGAAGAAATTTATTTCTGATTTATGTGATACTATGAAGAATGAGAGACATATTTGATATTTACTAAGAAAGTAAAATGTTTCAATTTCAAGTAATTTAACATGTTTCCAGAAAAGGAACTAGTTATATGGATAAATGAATGAAAATTGAGTAAAGTCAGTATTGTATCTCTTACCGGGCACTGAAACCGACAATCAAGTGTAAATTCTTGCAAGTATATATTTCATAATTTATTTGTCTACATTTGTTTTGTAACTTTTATTTATTTATTTTCTCTTTGAACATCATATATTCATCAATGATATTTTGGCTAAAGTCAATGATAACTAATGCCTTTATTTTGTCTTCTTTTTCCTTTTTGTCGTTTCATGCATTTATTTATTTATTACTTTTCGTTTTTTTCTTTTTATTATGAATTTGTTAGATAACGAGACAGAGCGAGAGAACGAGAGAGATCGAGAGAGAGAGAGAGAATTGATGACAAAGCTTCATTAAAGTTCATTTCTTATGTTACTTTTACATATATACCAAACTCAAAAAAAACAACAACGGAAAAGATGACAACAATTATGTTGTCATCTCAATTAAACCACTTGGCTAAAAGACTATTATTCTAGAACAGAGACGAAAAGTTTTAAACATATTCTAAACTTAATGTCAGAAAATCCTAATGAAATAATTTGTTAGAGTTTATTAGAACGAGAATAGTAGGAGATTGATAATTCGTTATACTAGAATGAATGAATGAGTCTAAAAGATAAAACCTATTTTTTTTATTCCATTTCAGTTTAAATATGGTATGATTTATTGTATTTCGAGCAACGGAAACATTCGTGATTAAATAGTCGATTAAAAGTCATAACATACAAGTTACACCAGACAAAAACAGAAAGATAGTAAGTAAATGTGACAATACTATGCTGATGACTGTTGTTATTATTATTATTGTAGTCTTCTGATATGTGTAGACGTTTGAATTCTACTATTTTACAACCATTTATTTTATTTTTTTAGAGATCTAAAACGTAGACATGTGTTGACGAAAAGTTTGTTTAGTTAGACAGTCAAAGAGTACTGTATAATTAACATCAAAATGAATGGGAAATTCGTTTGTTTTAGATCAATGTTCAGACACTTGTTATTCCATCAAGGATTAACTAATGTCAACTTAGATAAAATAATTATAGAAAGACGAATAGTTACATCATACACAATGTATAATGAAGAAAAGCAATATTACGACAAAAAACTCTATTGAAATTGTTGCTTGATATATATATATATATATATATACAATATATATAGATGTAGTAATCAATATATTTCAGTTCTTTATCTTATTAAAATCGCTATCCAAGTAGGTAGTTAAAATATTATATTGTCGCATGTGTTTGTTCATTTCAATTTTATCCTATATCAACTTAAATATCTTGTCTATGTTAGAAACAGAAATAATGAATCAAGAACATCAAATTTGAAAGTAAAAAATGTAATACAAATGTCTAAATGAAGTCAGTAAATAAAAACATCATACAATAATTGGTTCAATCCTATATAAAATTAAACTTCTGTTGATGGTGGTTTTGGAAGATGGTAAGCGTAGCCGCTCTGCGCAAATTCTTGTGGATGAAACCTATACCAGGCAGTCACTAATTCAGAGAGATGTTCGGGATGAGTGCTTGCAAGAGCGCTTGGATTCAAAGCAAAACAAACAAAAACTGTTCTTACACATGATGTTAGTATCGAAGTCATTATGGTGCTCATAGCCAAGCCAATAAGAAAACAGAAAAATGCTCCTATACCAGCAATTTCGATACGACTCGGATTATGAGGCATTACAGTATAAACTGTTATACCTCCAATAGCGGCAGAAATAAATCCGACAGCTAAACTTGTGATTGCCAATGCATTGCCAGTTAGATCGTCGTTTATAATCAACGTCCATCCACGACGTTTAAACAATTCAACAACATCTTTCGACGCTTGAATAAACGAAGCACCAGTTAATGCACAAAAAATAAATGCCCACTCATTCAAAAAACCAATAACACGTTCTAATATCTGAAGTATACACGCGGCACAACATGTTATCAATGTCACAACAATATTCCCTTGACGTTGTGCGTTATTTTGAGCATTTTGTGCTATTGTACGTAGGCTTTTGATAACAGCTACGATTAACGAACCAAAAGCTAGTGAACCGAAATTAGTTGTGAATGCACGATTAACAGATGATCGAACAATGTGGTCTGAGTTGGTAAACCACCAATCTCCAACAACACACGCAGATACAAAATGTACAACCGTTTTAAAAGTGATTGAACCCCAATATAATGATACAAGTAGAACAAATACGAATATACCACCACCACTTTTTGATCCCTCTTTCGATACATTGTCATATAATGTGCTGTTTCGTGGATAATCATTAATAGCATGTTCAAAACCAAGTGCAAGCATTGACCAAAAGAATACCCATAAACATTGAACAATAAGCATCCCCAATGCAACAAAATACACTGATGGATGACGAGCAAGAGCAGCACAGCCTGTTTTAATATGTGCTTCAGCAAACGGTATTCGATTTCGAACATAGTAAATGTACCATATTGTCAGAAATATGAACAGGAGCATAAAAATTCCGAAACCCCATGCAAATTTGAACATAACTGCTGCGAATACAATTTGCATGAATAAACCGGTGTATAAACTACATTTGATTAATTGTCCTGCACATCGTTGTAATACAAAAAAGAAGAATACTGATGCAAAACCGCCTACTCCACTAGCCAGCATAAATATTCTCAAAAATAAACTTGCATCAAAATCAAGGGGTTTTCTTGTTGAATCATCAAACGTTTCGTTGGTATCATAACGTATGGCTGGTATTCCTAACACCAGACCAATAATGACGACACACAAAACATGAATCCAAAATGCGATCGCAAATCCACGATCTTTCCAACCACCACCTTCGATTTGAGGTTTTTCATTAGCATTTGGAAGCGTTTCTATTTTTTGAACATCAATTAATCTTGCTGCACCACCACTACCAAGTAACGGCTGATCCATTTTGGATAATAGCTATAATGTCAAAAAAAATATTTAGAAACTTATCACTAATATAAAAACCAATGTGAAGGTTTTAATAAGCAATTTGACTCCAATTAATATAATGAAAAAGCTGTAAGATAAGATTCTTTATTGGTTGTCCAGTATGAATCTAATCTGGCTTGATAGTTATGTATTCTTATTCGTTTGAACTTACTATTATTTTAGTATTGAATTTTTTAATTTGTAGTCTCTTACATCATCAGTCACATTTATGAAAATAAAATATATATTTACTCATTTTTGTGGTTCTATTTTATCCTTTATCGCTCACACATGACGTCATGCATTATTCATCGATGAGAAAAGATGTAAAAAGGAACAACAAAACGCTGGAAATATAAACCTGTGTTTTACTTCAATTTTCCAAACGAAAGTAAATACATCAAAATCAGAGAAAATATTTTGCAAAATTGGGAGTAAAGTACTCGCAACTATTTAAAGCAACAGGCATACGTAGGGTTTTGATAACAACTACTATTAACGAATCCAAAGCTATTGAATCGCAATTATTTGTGAATGCATGATTAACAGATGGTGAAAAGCAGAGTGAATCCCATAACTACCCCTAGTTGAAAAGTGTTCATTAGTTCTTATTGAAAATTTCTGGCTGTCTGTAGGCATTTGACTATGAAACTTATAATAATTAAACGTTTGGCTCTTTGTCTTCATGAAACACATAAGGTTTTTTATCCACAATAATAGCGGTTATTCGTTGCCTTCATTGTTTATCTTAGATAATGAATTCACATTGTTAAAATTTTTTCGCTTTATCTACAAACTATTCTACCTGAAAAACCTCAATGTTGAACTGCAATTCAACTCAAAATAAAGTTGAGAGATATAGATTTTTAAAACATAAAAATATTGAATAGCTCTGATAAAAAGTATGAAAAAATGAAATTGCATATCTAAAGTTGATTTGGCAAGTATTGTATATACACCTCGAAATGTGGAGTCGCTCTTCGCACAAGAATAGTGGAATAATAAACATGAAAACTATTATATTGAGAAAACATTGCTTTAAAGTGATGAATTGTTCTAGAACGATTTTAGAATCGGATCTTCGGTGAGTTCTATCAAGCCTCATCAGTTGAAATCAAATTATTTGATTCGTAACTTCAGAAGTTTATCAGGTAAAAGTAATGTTTTCTCAGTATAATAGTTTTTCATGTTTATTATTCTACTGTTCTTGTTCGAAGAGCGACTCCATACTTCGAGGTGTCCATACGATACTTGCCAAATCAACCTTAGATATGCAATTTCAGTCCTTCGTTAAGTTGACTTTGCGGAAACGTCAGTGAAACACAACGGTTGGACCAGCTGACATTGTCACCGTTCAACGGCTACACCCCTGCGTATAGATGATTCGTGTAGTTATTTAATTTTGTTATCCGTTGAATTTTGACAGCCCTCTATCGACAATACCATCTATAAAACTTCAACTTAATTTTTAGTTTAAACTTAATTTAAACTTTGGAATAAAGATCGCAATGAAAGAAAACCAGATGGAAAACATCTCATAATGTATGGATCGTAATCTTCAGATCCGATAAAATGTCTAAATGTCACTGTTAACGTAAATGTATGATCATGTTTTTCACATTATATTTGCTCTTTATTCTTCGTACATCGCGTGACAACCATGTCTTTACCTTGTTGTCGTGGGATACAGCATTTATTCTGTGAACTACTATCTTCAGTAATAAATACGGTTACAGGAAGAAGTTTCAACAAATCTCCTTGTTTTAAATCGCGATGCATTTACTGCACGTTAAATTCTGAAACAAGAAAAACAAAATTTTGTACGACGGAGAGGGGTCGAAATAGAATAGTTTTCAACAGTCAACATTCTTATGACGAAATTGAGCATTTTTCTTTCTATCAGAGATTAAAAAACCTCACATAATTTTAAAGCCTTCCACAAATTACAAACACTCATCCGCCTACTTTTCGTCCATAGTTTTTCTCTGTCCTTCATACACACACTCTTACGTCTATTCTGTTTATATTTTGTTTACGCTGTTCCATCTACGGAAAATACAGCTTTTTTGCTGAACCAGACATAGTAAATGAACCAAAGCACTTCATTCTACGGAAAAGCTTCAATTTTTGAATGTAAAACTTTTTTCAATTTGTTTTCAAAAAACTATTCATATATCAGTTTAACTAAGTGTGATGAAGCTCATTTGGTATTGATTTTTTACTTCAAATCAACAAAGAATCGTATAATATTCTCTTTCGCGCACTCTGATTTTGTTACAAAGTTTGTTCTTCTAACACCAAAAAAAAGACAGTAAATGGTACAATTACACAATACAAAGAAACAGAGAAGAGAAAGTCATGAAAAAAACAACTTTTTTAATAAAATGAAGGCTTTCTGAATTTTTATTTCTTGGTTTATTCAACGGACGGAAGTTCACAAAAGAAGAAATCGATTAATGTGCGACTTGGAAAACAAACGTCTTGGAATGTCCTAAGTAGTTTATGCCGCATGTTCTTTTGTCGCTTCTTCACTTGTTTTTACATGTTCATTTGATTCTGATGATTTTGTTTCACTATTGTCACCTTTCCCAGTACGAGCCCTTAAAATGTCTTTGTCGTCTACCGTTGAATTAGTATCGTGTTCACTTGTTTCTGTTGTTGGTTTGTCACCTCCAAATTCTTCGTCATCTGAATCGTGCTCATCTCCCATATCTTCTTCATCATCAGATCCGCCCATTCCAGGCATACCACCCATTCCCGGCATACCGCCCATACCACCCATACCACCCATACCTGGCATTCCACCTCCAAACATATCAGCGAAATTGTTACCGCCTGGCATTCCATTTGGAGCTTCCTCTTCTTCATCATTTTCGTCAACCCAATGATCAAAATCTGTCTGGAGCCAATGTAATTTTTGTTTATCTTTTGTTAATCGAGGCCAAAACGACGAATTAGCATCTTTCTTTTTTAATAGTATCCGCCAAAACTTTTGTCCGATTAAATCATATTTTGAAGTTGATGGATCAATTTTTTCATATAAATCAATTTTGACTTCATAAATAATGTTTGTTTTATCCGATGCTTGTCCATGGAAATATAAACTATCTTCTTCGAATTTACAATCAACTTTATCGATATCGGGAACAGCCACGGTTAACAAAATACTGTCCTTTTGTTGCGCCCACAATACTTTGGGAAAGTGGACAGTGGATGACGACGTTGAAGTACTTTCAGGCATGATTTGATAACAATTAGAGGATAAAGATGATCTAAATCTAAAATAAAAATATCAACGTACATGAGTTAATGAGAAGTTTCTTGAGAGTATATAGAAAAACTTAATTATCCTCAAGTTTTATCAAACAAATGCTTTACAATGCATAAGCAAAGTGTGTAGAGAAGACCGTCACATATTAAACAAAAGTTAGATTTTTTACTATAGAAAAAACCTATCAAACCTTCAAACATCGACGTAGTCCTTAGATAAAATGAAAGAGCATTCAGAAGACATATATAAAAGGAAAAAATTGGCAATTGGTCTGAAGGACAAACGTATCTTGGAGTCCTCTACGAATTGAAAGCAGAAGAGAAAGATTTTGTAAGCATGAATCATAGCTTTTGGAATCGTCCCTTCTCAACAAGACTCGAAAAGAGAAAATCTTCAGACAAGCAAAGCTAATTTATGTATGATCGACTCTACGTACTTCCACAGTTATCTCGAATGATCTACCAATGTCATTCTGTCAAAACGAGGGAAAAGACAGAAAATAATTAAGAGAATCACATTAAGTACGCACTGTAGTATAACGTGCATAAGCATGTTGAATTTCGGCTTGCCTAAGAATATCAAAGTATTTATTTCAGTGCAATAAAGCTCACTGTTCTCTAGTCTTTGAAATGAGAAGAGAATTATCAGCAGTAAGAATTTGATGGTTTCGAGTCGAAATCGCAGGATTTTGATTTGCTTAACACTGCCGCAAATTGAATACGTTTTAACTGCGTGTAAAAAAGAATAAATACGTGTTATGTGAATTGAAAGAGTCAAGGTATCAATTCGCTACACCTAAAAAGTTAGACGCAAAACGCTGATGTGAATCTGAAATCACGCCGTTGTTAATATTGTACGCCTGACGCTTTTGAATCGTTCTTCGCAAGTCATATAGCTGCTTGTTATTTCTTGATAGCCATCAATTCTGGTAGTCAAAGATAACTGTCCGCCAGTGAGTGTTACAAAGATGGAAAAATAAAGGATAACTCTAATCTACCAGATAAGCAATTACAGATTCGTCACACAGTCTGAGAAATTAGTATCTTTCGTTTACTGATCTCACTATTAGTACACTTCATTTTGTACGAAGAGCTCACTGTGCGCTAGTTTTTCTATGCAGAATGACTTCTTTGCTTTGAATTATAGATTCCTTACTTGAAACTTTTTCCACTATCCGACTGGTTGTTAGTGGAACGCTCAAGTGAGCTACATTTTAGATTCTAAGTTTTTCTCTGAAATACAAGGAAATATTTATTTTCTTAGTAGTTGCATGTTACATGCTACATATTATTATTTTTATTTCAGATTATTCAATGGGATATATCCAAGGAATTTGTTCTCTAGCTATCGGTTGTATTGGTGCATTGCCGATATTGTTGCGATAGGCTCACGTGACAAACATAAAGAGTTTCTGAATAAAAATTACATTATTCATTCACGAGCTCTAACCGAATCGTGTATTGCTATGAAGTTTGGTCTTGTTTATGATTGAAGAAATCTTTTACTGTATTCTAATATTTAGACAGAAGAACTAGTGAGCCCGATAACAATGTTGATACTTCAGACGTCACCATTGTAAGTGTTTTTTTTGCGAATAGGCGCTGATGTTTATCGTCGCCATTTGATACCTACTACTTATCATCGAGATTTTTAACAAAGTATGAATAATACAGTATTTTTATCATTTCAAATTTAATTTTTGAATATTACATTTTAATAGGCATATCGTAAACGAACCTGAAAAGGCGAGATGGTATGACATCTTGTTTAGAAAGTTAAGATCAAAACAAAATTTTGGCAAAATATCATTCTAATACCTGGAAGATTTCATTAAGCCAACAACGAAGACCTCTCAAAGAATATGGGATGGGTCAGAACTACTGAAACGTTTCAGTAATTCTGGCCCGTCCTGTATCTATCTGTTAAGATGAATGAAAAAGAAGGAGAAATCTGATAAGTTCTATTTTCTGTTTTCTCTCAAAAAACAAGAAAATTCTTCTTCATTCTGTATTTGTACGTCAGGAATCATGAAAAGAACATATTGAGCTTGAACAGTATTGTAAAACATAAAATTACTTAACTCAGCCGTTAATATCAGGTACCAGACGTCTCGATAAACCTTCTGGATATATAATCATTGGTAACGAGTATGTTGGACAATTATTGTTTGTCTATAATAATTTTATTTGTACGCAATTTTATCCTATATTTCTTGATAATGAAAATAGAATTTTCGAAACGTTAGAAGAATTAAAGTTTCAAATAAGTTTATACAGAGCTACTTCGCTTATTTCCCATCAGAACTAATAAGGAGATAAATGCACCAAGGAAAACTTGGTATCAACTAAGGTTCAGCAAAGTCAGTTCTAACAATAACAATAACCGTTAGAAGGTATAAAGGATGGAATGAAAATTAATTCGAGTAACTTCTGCGTCTTGTTTACTCAAATTGAAGGCTTATTCATAAGTTATCTCAGATGTTATCCATTTTAGTTCAAAATAGACGAAGTTCTTGTAATCTACGCTGAAATTAATATCGAAGAAGTTGAAACTGTTCCTTCCCCTGTCTGGAAATGTCTAATACGGATGCCATCGTAAAACCGCTGGATCTACATAGGAAAACAACATTTTATGATCCTGAAAAAAGATGACACTACATGTTCTGTTGCGTATACTCAAAGGCAGTTTGCTACGCTTTAGTTTTAGACGTGAAGAATGTATTGGTAATGATTTGTGTGAATCAAGTAATCGTAATAATGCATTTTTTTAAAATTGTTAGTGACTCAACACAATATTGGCATATAACCTACCACTTACCAAATACAATCAAATTATCGGTATTCCTGGAGTATTTTAGTGAAGTATTATCACTATATTATAACGGTTACTCTCTTAAAGCAGTGAATTTTGTTTGTAAAAGTAGGATTTTAATACAGTTTTTACAAAGACTTCCGCGCATAAATCTATCTTTCAATTTTTAGTCGTTCCTGTTTCTCGATAGAAATCTGATTGTTGTTAGGATAATATGAATTTCATATCAGTGAGTATTAGAAGGTATTTTATCAAAACTTTTGTGAAAAGTACTACGTACATTTTCTGACAGTAATTTAGATAAAACGAGTATTGTCTTTCATTCGTCCTCTAACTTGTAATTATTTGAAGAGAAATCTCTTGATAATAGACCAGTGCAAAAGATATCGAGTATACGACAAACTTTTCAAATTAGCCAACTTTGTTTGCAATGTTCTTTTATATAGAATAAATAAAATAAAAAATGATTGATAAACTTTGCCCAAACGAGGATACTTTTTCCAGATTTGCGGGCCTCTCTGTTTATGGAAAAATCTCATTATGAAATACTTTCTCATTAATCATGGTCTTTATAATACGTAAAATGAAGTAAGGAAGAGATCAAAAACTTTCACGGATAGATTTCCTTGTTCTCTTTTTCTTGTTAGAATATTTAATGAAGTGATTTATGATGAATGAGATTAAGGCAGCGGCGTCTATCCGCGCCTAAGCATTTGAGATCTTTTGTACCACCTCAAACGTTCGAGCATTCAGTGTACCACCTGGAACAAAAAAGCGTTCCATCTACTTTTGTCGTCAACGTCCCACAGGATAGATGCCTCCAGATTAAGGATGTTACAGCCGCAATGAACTTAAATTTACCGATGGCTTTTGTTTTTATTCTTTTAGATTTGTTGTGTATATCTATTTCATCTAATTTTCTTGTATCATTATTATCAATATAAACAATGGCTCGTGACTCAGATCAAGTTTTGGCTATATTTGCAAATATGCTTGGTGTGATGGTTTTTCTTTTGGTGGTTGCTTATCATTATGTTCAACGAACACAAGATGGAAGAAATTAATCGATTATTGATAAATCATGACGTAATAGGTTACTAGTTGTTTTTGTATACAAGTTGAACTAAAAAAGAAAATTTAGATTTGTTAAGTCTTTGGGAAATTTTGTGCTCAACGGTGTTATTTTGTTTTCTTACTGTTATTGTTATGACCTGTTGATTTTATTTTGATTCTATTTCTAGCCAATCATTGTTGTTTTCATTGAAATTTTAGTTTGTTGGTTATTATATGAGAATAAATTTTTAAGCATTTTCCTGGATGAATTTTGGTAGTAACAATAGAATGAAGGGAAAGAATCGACAAAAATCTAAATCTATATCCACTATTAGATTAATCCCAAAAAAGAATACTTCTGACATGGTATATACGTACAAACGTTCATATTTCTCGAATAGTTTGTTTATTTAGAGAAACCTAAGCACGGCTGACTTTTGAAGGAATTTAGCTTATGGACTGTTTTAAAAATATCAAATAAAATATTGATTTCAATTAGAGATGTGCCAAGTATCCTTATCCTATCCTACAGGGTTAATACATCGAATGCATAGGATACGTTAAGACGTTGACCTTTTTAAAACGAGAGAAAATGTTATCGTTACCACCCGAAATTCAGTTGCTAATAACATCTTTTTGCTTGGACGCACATAGTTTGACTTTATTTTTAGGTGTTCCAGCAGTAAATGAAAAATTGGTGACAGATTATAAATCTTAACAGCAGCTGCCGTTTTGGGCAAAACGCGGAGATCCTTCAACGTTGAGATCTTGTATTCTACGCGTGGTCCTTCTTCTCTCTAGTAGACGCTAATCGAAAGTCCACTTGTGACCAACTATGCACACTAGATTTAAGCTCTCTCAGCTCCAAATAAACTAACAACTACGCGTTAGTTTCCATGTTGGAACGATGTGACAGCGACAGAGATTTTACCATTAGTAAGTTTTTCCTCACTTATGTTGAGTATTTCTCTAAAACATGTTATTTTACATTTGATAATTGAGATTGAGGGATAATATTAATGGAAGAAAATACTGTTAGAATGACTGAATACAAAATGTAAAAGTTTAAAACTTGTTATCAGTGTGGAGAAGAAGTATAACATATGACCATATCTTTTTTGAGATAAAGGCTTGTCAACAGATTTATTTCTCATGAGTGACGTGTTGAACACTATCATTGTTCTTTTTACTCCTTAATTTTTGAACTATACATATATATTGAGAGAATGACCTGCTCCCCTGAAAAGCTTGATGTTTTGAATTGTACATTGTAAATGTGTATTCGATAATGTTGTTCGATTTTAAAGGGGAGTTGAAAGGATAGTTAAAGTGATGTTATCTCTAGCGAATTTTTAACGACCTATTCCCCCGTTTTTATGGTAAAATGAATAACATTGAATGAATATCGGGGGAGCATTGTACCATTTGAAAATGTACTCGATTGTACAAATAAAACCGGAGTATAAATAGAGTAGTGAATTATATGAAAAACATTAAACACTCTTACTTTATCTTATTCTAAACCATTTGTGATTTTACACTCTCGTCTAACAAAACAACAATGCCAAAATCTTGCCAATGCAAAGGTAATGTAAAATGTTTTTTTTTATTTTGTTTGAATATAGTACAGAGTTTTGAAAAACAGGTGACTGGAAAGTATTTGTTTTATAAATAGACGATTGTTAAAGCAAGCTTGAAAAATCCATTTTGACATAATATAGTAAATCCAACTTTTTTTGAGTTTAATAATCATCTTGAGCAAACTATTATTTTATAAAACTGTGGAGAACTTCGTAGTATAATGATGCGTTGATTTTCAGCTGGTTCATGCGGCTGTGGTGCTGGTTGTGTAAATGGCGCAGCTTGCAAATGTAACGATAATTGTTCATGCAAATGCGATTGTAAATCATGTGCTCGTAAGTAACATTTTAGTTTTATCCATAAGCAACTTTATCTCATCATATTCATTTCTTGCTTTAGACGATGGTGGTAATTGTAGCTCAGCATGCAAATGTAAATCGTGTGATTGCCAACAGTGCAGTTGTTCAAATTAATTTGTTTGTTGATACCAACGTTCAATCTGTTTCATAAACAAATGTACTAACTTTCTTTTTTCAAACATTTAGTCGTGAATTAGATTAAATTGTGTTTAGTTGCACTTTTTTTTAATAAAAGTTTAAGCTAAAATGCAATATATTTTTACATTATGTGCACAATTCTTCCAATATACTAACAATGACCATGGACACTCTGATAGCAATAGAAAAGAGATATGTAGAGTTAGTTATCCTTCATTTATATACTTACTCCGCTTTTTGAAGTATCATCCTCCTACTTCCGGCGTCTTTGATAATCGATTTGAAAGAAAGAATATGAAATTAAATAATATGTAAATTTGACTAACAGTATATAGAAAGTTTTTTTGTCAAATTTGTTCCTATTATAATAACGACTTTCTAAAACATCTTGAGTCTGTATTGTGATAAATACAATTATGTGATATAGTAGTCAAACTTCTATGGGATTGTTATGCTTCGAAGAGTACACTATAACCGACACATAGATTTCTCTCTACATTCTTCGTTAAACGCGTAAAACAATTGATGATGATACTGAATAATGTGATGAATAATGAATATGGTCCACAGAAATGTACCAATGATAATGGACAAAATTGCCCTATACGAAGAGAGAAGGAAAACATCTATATAATAATAATAATAATTTAAAATCGACCTACCATCGTAATGCGTGTCTACCATAAATTGCCGCTAATTTTGGCCAAAATACGAGACTAGACGGGCGCTTCATTTCGTATGCTTGTGTGGCACGCACTAATCCAAAAATACCAGTTGGAAAAAAGCACAGTAATCCAATAATTGCCATACAAAAATGATCTCTAACCATAGCACGTGTATCAATTAATTTTTCTGGTATTTCTACATCTTCTATTTCTCGACTATCCAGTGATGAATCCGAGTTAAATGAATTTCTATTTGAAAGTGAGTTTGTATTTTGATCAAAGTTCATCATATTGTCATCTTTCAGTAGTATTTGTTCAACATTAATTTCTTCTTTAGAAGATGCAAAATTTTCTCTTTCTAACATCGAATATTGATGTCTATATGGTCGTTTTTCACTTTTGTTTTCTTTCAATTTTTCCAATGAATGTTTATATTTGTGTTTTCTTTGATCATGTGATTTTGAAGGATGAGATAGTTTACCTACAATTTTATGACACATAGAAAATGACTCTTATCTAATTGTCTTAAAAATTAAGTATAAATTTCTGCCATTGAAATGATATTAGTGTAAAGAAACTCACGTTTGTGTTCATTTTTACAAGATCTTGTTTCTGTTGATGTTTTAACATTATGATTTTTGATTTCATCTCTTAAGAGATGAATTGGAGACTCTAAATGAAGATTATCGTTGTTCTTGTTGAACGATTTTGATGATGATTTATTAACGAGTTTAGTGACATCAAAATAGTCTTGTGTTGCTGTAATATTAGTAGATTCTATACGTTTTAATTCGTAATTCATGCATCAGTCATATATGTTGAAAAAATATTGTCTATATGGTATTGAAAGAGTTTTTGTGCTATTTTCACATTCAATCTGTATACTTTCATCCAAACTAGTATGTAAACATATGCATGAGCGCGAAAATTAATATTTAAGTAAATCGACTTTATATTGTTCATGCATGCCCTACAAAATGATATTGAAAAGTGACTGGTAGCATCACTTCGTTTCAACGATATTGACACATTTTTTACCAAATTTTTTTCTTCTGAATGGACAATAACACGACTAATTTTTTTTTTTTTCTATTTTTATTTGATTAGTGTGTATCCACCTGGCTTGTGTAACTTATCCAAGAAGATCATGTCATATTAGTTGTTTTTAAAAAAATATTCATATTAGAAGAAGAAGAAAAAGAAAATGTAAATTATATATAATACAGAAAAAAGCATATTCCATTTATTTAGTATATTTGGCTGTCATTATACAGTAAGATCTTCATCGGTGATTCATTCTTCGGATATTTCTGATAATTACATGTCAAGATCACTAAACAAATTTTGAATGTAATTGTAACAAATAATAAGTAATTATTAATAATGGTAGTATAGAACTTTTATAATGTATTGTATGACGTATATGACAATTATGAGCAGCTGTATTCGATTTGAATATTAAACCAATGTTACGTTTAGCTAAAAATTAAACAAAAAGTCATGAAAAAAAAAAATGAGAAATTTTTAAATATATGACTAGATTTATATCGTCTTATTTAAAATACGTCTACTAAAGATGACTAACTGATTTTGTCAATCTAAATCTCTATGACACGTATAATTTAGTGGTTCATTTTTGAAGTGTATCGAACAAGGTTAAGATTGTACTCAATTTCAATTGAAGAATAATATAAGTTATTTTTCTAGATTATTAGTTTTTTTGTATGTTTCCGATTAGTTTTTTTATTCGAGAGATACTTGAGTATATTGTTTAAACTATGTGTACTTACAAGATTCTGTAACAACAGCTAAATATGTACGTTCAGTATTTCGTTTTACTTGTGATACAAACGGTTGTTTGGTTGATACAAATTCTTCTAGAAATATGGGTAAATTAATTATTAATTATTAAAAATAGATATTTAATCTTTTTTTTTACCTTTAATGAAGAATTCTGTTTGAGCGTTTCCCACACTGTTGTCAGATCTACAAACATAAAGACCAAATAGTGTTGAATCTTTCATCTAAAATAATTGAAAATAGAATGAAATTAAACGATTTATCTTTGAAATGTTAAAATATTTACAGAAATTGTGATCGTTAATTGAGAACATGTATCATTCAATTTTGATTCAATTTTTTCTTTAGCATTAAGATATCCCATTTGTTTGTATATATCAATTTTTGGTGGTGGATTTGAACAAGCGATACAGGAAAGTATAGTTGTTTCATATAAACGAATATATAAGGGTATCATTGATGGAACAGTCACTGTTGGTTTATCTAAATAATTTAAAAATTTGAGTACTAACTAACAATACGATCATCAGTCTACTTACATTTGACATTAAGAAGAAATTGTCGACTAACTTTACTTAATTCATTACCGGCAATACATTCTACTCGTCCACTATCTGTTCTTGATGCATTATGAAGTATAAATATACTACTTTCATTATCAATCCCTAAATGGAAAGAAAAAAAATTATAATATTCTCATACATGAATCGACAAATTTTAATTTTCTTGTAAAACTGATTAAGATAAAACATAATTTTTTTAGAACTAGTATGATGTAATAATGACACGAGAAGATACTAGTTAATAGTAGAAAAATTATAGTAATTATTGTATTTTCCTGTCAATTACGTACTAGTTGCCGGTCTCGATAAACCATTGATTTCCCATATAATTTTTGGTATTGGTTGACCACTAGCACTACATGAAAATTTTGCATTATGTCCCTCTTTTACTGTTAAACGCCCTTGACTTGGATAATGAGATATAATTCTTGGTGGTACTAAAAAATAAGATTAATAATAATAATAGCAGTCATTTTCGTACAAACTAGAAGTTTTTGGTATCTAATAGAGATCGTATCAATTCAGATGAACAAATCTTAGCATGTCTCAATATGCACGTACAAATCATAACTGATTATACGTGTTTAGTATATATGAAAGTTAATTGATAATAGTAAAATAAATTTTATCCATAATAGAAAACGATAAGTGACGTGACTTGATTGTTATTTGATAGAGAAACATTACTTTGTTGTTGTTGTTCAGTCTGAACGTATATATTTATCATCAATCTTTTTTTATGGTTAATATGGGAAGGTAATTAGTTTCTTATATTAGAAAGAAAGAAAGAACGAAAGAAAGAAAAGAGGTGTAAAAAGGTAACAATATGTATACATGTCACTTGAAGAACAATTAAAAACTCTTTGTGTTATTTTGTATTTTTGTATTCATTCAATATCTACTGCTTAATATGGACACGCTCATTGACACATAAACATGAAGAAAAATAAAGAAAAGATTCAATGAAGTGGACAGTTCAAAATAGTCTAATATAGAGAGGATAGATTACAAACAATGGTAATTTGTACATATATTCTACGGCTCATTTCGTTCTGAAGTATACGTGACATATACACAAAACACACACTCACAGAGATCGAGAGTATTGATTAATTTTTTATATTCACATTTGGATTTTCCTCTTTACATTAGCAGCTGTTCATAACCAGACGAACATCAACTTCTTTTGCGGTAAACATTCAATAATCAAAAACTATTGAAAAAGGTAATGATCCAATAAATTATAGGCTGATGAAGTTTTAGGAAAAATAAAAACTTTTCAAAGATAATGTCATACTTTATGTGGATATCAATAGGACAAATATTCTCTATTTTACCATGTTTTTGATTTAACTAGATAATTTCTTCTGATAATAGGGTGTTTACTGGTTATCTAAAGATACTTCAATATGTTTTGCAAAAGATTTTTGCAAACTAGCTGATATTCTATATATCGATATGTATCTTTTCTTCTACTGCACATCCGAAAAAATTCAGTTTTTATCTTAACTCAACTTTATGAAATTCCGCAATTAGTACAAACAATAAAGCCAAAAAAAAAAAATACATCAACACTTCATGACGGAAATCTAAGAGCTATTCAGTCAATCAGTGAAGTCAAGCTTATAAAAAAGAGAATAGAGAAAGTTTTTTTGTTGTCATAAAAGGAAAAGAAGAAGTAAGAGGATCAAACTACCTATGCTAGTTGCATAAATAAACGGAAGTATAAAAAAGGTCCATGAACTTTTTATGTTGTATGTTTAACATACATATAGGTATATTTCGTTTGGTGATTGATTGTCGTTATAGTTATATAAGAATATAAGTTTTTCAAAAGAGGACGGAAATGTTTGATTTTAACTATCTTTGAAGATTTCTTCTTTATTTTTTTATGAAGAAATAATTTTTTGGTACTTTCAGGTACTTTGAAATTCATTATTTTCTATGATTATATGCGAGTGTATACCATTCAATATGTTCATTTACTTTTCTATATTGATAGTGCCGCATCTACAGGTGTTTAATCAATCGCGAATAATGTATTGATTATATCTCCTCCTTCGTGAATATGACCACATGCTCATTGTTTTTCTTTATCTCTTTCATTTTACTGTCGCAAATAATAATATAATTTGAACTTGAAAAAAAGAGATAGAATCATCAACGTCCTCTTTCTGTTAAAAAGTATGCATGTATATTATTACTGTATGCATGTTTTCGTCTGTATAAATAAGCATACTCTCTATGTGTCATGTACACAAAAGAAGAAATTGAACAAATATTCTATCCGCCCGTATTCTTTCTTTACAAAGATCCAAATGTAAACGAAAAAGTGATTGTTTTATTATAAAGATTCTCCTCCTAAGTTTGAAAACACAATAATATAGGGCAAGAAAAGTGTCACTAAAACTATCATGAACAAAACAAAACAAAAGAAATCTTTTGTTCTAAAGCCAATAGGATGATTATACACACTTAGAAAAGAGGGGTTTCATATCAAGATGAACATGTAGAATGTGATGATGTTGTTTTCGCCATTTATTTACTAACTCTCTATCCTCACTTGTCATTTTGTACACATTGTACACCCACTTAAGATAACACACATGTTCAATGTACAAATATACGAAGATGATACCCTTTTTTGATTGTCAAAAACGCTATACCATTTTATATATATATATATTATATGAGGAAAATTTTGTCAAGGACAAAGAAAAATACATATTGTAGAATTCATCTAACTTACCAAGAATTTCAAGCAAAACTTCTGCTATTGTCACATCTCCTTGAACACATCGATATAATCCACTGTCTTTTTCTTCAACATTTTTTATTCTCAATGTTCGATCATAATCATCATTTCCATATGATGATGATACGATACTGAGACGATTATTTGGAATTGTGATTGTTCGGTCGAGACTTAATATGTCAGCAGTATTATCTCGCAACCATATTAACTACAAGAGAAATAATACAAAGTTATATACGTACAATTGACTTATCTATCCTTAATCTTTCTTAAAGATGAAAGAAGAAAAACTTCGTATTGTATCCATTTAATATACAAAAGCCTTAGAGCGTCTCTGTGTCCAGCTGTGTTTGTGTGAATCATTATAAAAGTTAAAAGAAGAAATATTTTCATAATCAATGAATAAATAGAACAACAATAACCACAACACCGGATCATCATCACTATTCATGCATTATGTCATATATACTTTCGAAATTTTTTTTCTTCTTATTTGTGCCCAGCAACAATTTATTCCACAAAAAAAGGTTTCGCTCACTAAACGTTCACTGAATGAAGCTCTAATGATTATAGTTCACACTTGTTTGAATTATCCGACAAAAAGAATAATTGCTTCGAGGAACTACTTGATCGTAGCAGAGTAAAACTTGTACAACTACAATCGTATTTTACATAGATTCACAACTCAATACTAAAATGACAAGTTCGAACTTTTTATGATAAATCCAGAACCATTCATGACAGTTAGTGATACAATAGTCCGAGTATACATGGATAAAAGACTTTCTTGCTCGAAAAAATACTTTTCCTGGTGACAAAATTTCTCTTATCTTGGCACATTATCACAGTATTTTTCAGTAATAATAAGCATCATTGGTCAATAAATTCATGTCATTATAATGAGATTATTTTTTTAAATTTCTTACTTTGTCCATTGGATTTATAATTATTGTATTATTTTTGTCCATACATGGTAGATCGACAACGGTGCCCATTAATGTTCTAACTGTTTCTAATTGATAAGTAAAATCAATTCTAATTAATAAACAAACAATTATGAATAACCGAAGTTTTTGAATAAGAAGAATATCGTTGTATTTCCAAACCATTCAGTCATCGGTAATAGTCAATTTTATAATAGTTGTAAAAACGAAACACAAACATAAACAGATAGAGATAAAAGTAGATTATACAATAGAATGAATGACGTACATTTGACCGTTGTCCACTTCTATTCTATTCTTAGAAAATATAATTATTAAATAATACACCTTTCTTTCTTTTATTCAAAATTGAATTCTGATAATGTTACTCTTTCTCTTTTTTCTTTTTGGTTGCTTATGGACAATGCAGAAGGAAAATAGATATATACATTTCTGAAAAATGAGAGAGAGAGAGTGAGAGCGAGAGAAAGAGAAAGTGAACAAAATATACACTTCCATTGATACTCTTTCTTCTACAAGAACAGAAGAAAGAGAAGAAGAAAAAAAAGAAAGAAAGAAAGAAAGAAATCAAGATGATTTGTTTCAAGTATTGTCGAAAATATATAACTTTTGCTTTTTGTCATTTTGAACAGGTTCTTTCTCGTCTGTATATTTGAATGACACATACGTTGAACACTCCTCTCTGTCTATCATTCATCATTCTCAGAATTTTTAAGTATCTATGAGTTTACAGTTCTTAATATCAACAAAAAAAAAAAAAAAAATTATATTAAAAGAGATATAATCTGATATATTTTAATGGCATTGATTCGATACTATATGTTTATATGAAGGTATCGTCATCAAATAATATTGCGCTTGTATATAAATCATATAAATAATCATGATGATGATAATGACAGAGAGAAAGCGGTAGTAGTTTTATCTTTAAACGAGAACTGTAAACACTCTTTCAAACATAAAACACATTCACTTAATCACTTTTAGAATGAATATATAAACTATAACTCTTTCTTTTCAATATAATTTAAATGCTTTTTTTTGTATATATCAAGATCAATAGAGAGGTGTGAAGGACATGTTTGTCCCCTACAGAAGTTATTTACAGTTGATCAAAACAAGACTGATAAAAAATAATAATCAGTCTAAAACTGTATTTCTCTAGTTACATTCATTTTTTTCCCTACAGAAAGTTGAATATTTTGATTAATATTGAAGGTTTCGATGAATATCGTTAGTAAAAAAAATTTAAAATATCACTCGTATATTTTATTCTTTCAATTGACTTTAACATAATATCATCATTAGTATTCTCTCTTTTTTTTAAAATTTCATTTTACTAATGTTGTTATATGTTTTGTAGAATAGAATAATAAATAACAGACTCTAATTGTAGACATAATGTTCAAATTATTCAAAGAAAACTAATTTTTTTTTTTTTAAATATTTAAACATGTACTACTATAATTTGATTTATGACTTATTTTTCTTTCCTGTTGTCCAATATTCTATTCTCCCTTCTTTCTTGATAAGTTTGTAGATGACCGAGAAACATGTGTAAGATATTTCATGAACTGTAATTAATTGTTCTCCCTCTCTTCATGTTATTTGATATGATTCGTTAAATTTCAGTTTGTTGTTTGCTCTATGTTCACGGACAGTTTAACATTTTGGACATAAAGAATAAATTTTTTTTTTTTTTTTTTTTTTAAAGAAGATTTTCTCTCTCTTTCTTTCTCGGTCAAAGATTTCTAATTTTTGGTGTTGTATAAAATGCAGGAAGAACGCGAGACGATGATAATGAAGAAAAATCACTCGTATATGTTCAATCAATAATTGATTTTTCTCTCGTTTTTTTTTCTTTTTTTGGATGATTACACGATCCTATGTATAATGACGAGAATATGAGAGACGCGTTGATTATAATCTTCTTTAATAATGAGATTGAGAGAGAAAGAGATGAAATGCAAACATTATCTTTAATGAGAATAAAAACAGACGGCAATTTCGACACTTCCTCGTTTTACAACAAAGTTGTCATCCCATCTTATTATAGACGTCTCATTCTTTTTTTTTTCTTCTCAATATACATGAGTCAGATAGTAAAATATTTTTATAATGTCATTATCATCACCATCATCATCATTATATAGAACAAGTAAAATGGAATTAAAGATTTTATTATAAACATTCAATTAAAATATCTCTATTTATAATCCCTTTTTCTCTCTTTTATTTACAGTCAGTAAAATTTACAAGATTTCATTTCATAGAAGACTTGTTAAAACAATATATTTTCATCTAAAACGATCTTATAGTCAGTGACATTACCTTTTTAAAATTTGTGATCGAAGTTGTTCACTCATAAAAAACAGATGTATTATGCCTTTAGGTTAATTTAACATATTTTTCTGACATATTTTGAAAATAGTGTTACAATCTGTGACATACATTGCATTGCATGAAAAAAAAATTTTTTTGTACAATTTTTCCCCATATATCTGTGCAAATGACCGCATTTTTTTAATAATCCTATTAAATGAAATTTATCTCAGTATATTATGATATAACTGTGTAAATATGTCTATCTATTTCTATCTTGTGAAAATTTATGATTACATCATCATCATCATTATGTAGAAAAGAAAATAGAATGTCAGTCAATTCAAGAACTGATATATATTTCGTTTCATAATGAATGATGAAATTATGAAATTAATTTCTACTCATCATTTAATATAAAAAACTAAATTGGATATTTTTCAAGTAACCATAATGTAAAATGAAAGAAGAGAAAATCAAAGTGTCAAATGAGGCATATTCTTTATAACACGCACGATGTCCCAAATGAAATTTTTTTTTTTATTAGTTTTTTTTTTTTGAGTGAATGTTTTGTGCCGGAAATTTTCAAAAATCAAAATGTCATTTTTACCCATTGTTAAATTGAAAACGACATCATTATCAATTCAATAACATATTGTATACCTGATGATAGACAGTTTATTGTCATTTAGATTCAAATAAAGATTATTGTCTTATAATGAATGAAAATCAATTTTTAATATTCAACATGGTACAATATGATAATAAATCAACAAATTAAGATAGATTAACGTTCATCTTTCATTCTTCTTAGACTCTATCAGAGATATTAAATATAATTTCATTTTCGTGTATATCATTATCTTAACGATTGTTCAAAATGATGACATGTGTGTAGTGTAGTGTGGTGTGTGTGTTACGAATGTTAGGCTAAATAATCTAAATGTTGTAATTATGTATTATCAATTTTCCTTCTCTCTTTTTTAATAATATTTGCATTGTTATGTACGATGATAAACATATAGAGATACTCGTGGTTGGTTCATTTGAATAAAAATAATTAATATTATCTGAATGAATCATTTTAATTTCTCTCAGGAGATTATTTTTTTATTCTCCTTGCACACCGATGAAACTTTTCTTTTTTTTTTTTTTTTTTTGTAATTATCTTACACTCACAATGTGTGAGATACAATTCATAGACAAAAGCTACTTTAGAGAGATAAAGGTAACTATAAGAAATGACAATCAAATAGAAACTAAAAAAACGCGGTCACCCTAATCCCAATGGATCATTTTCGTTTTTTATTTTTTAATTGCACACACACACATACACACACGTGTCATATCATCAAAAAAAAAAAAAAATGTATGGATAATCAACAGCATGACAATAAATTATTAACTTTTTTTTTTTTTTGTTTTGTTCTATTTTGATTAATTTGTTCTAAATACACGCGATTTAAACATTTGAAAATACTTTAATTTTAATAAACAAATAAAAAACAAAACAGATAAAAAAAGATTATAATGTTGAAATGTTTCAGTTTGTTATAATAATCAGTGTATATGTGAGTGATTCTCTCAGTTTCCACTCTTTTGAATTTAATCGATGAGAAGAGATCATTTTTTCTTTATATAATATAAAATGAGCGTATATTAATGATTACGTTTGATTAAACAAAAACCGTGTTAATTTAATTCTGACTTATTTTTTTTTCAAATTCATATCGTTAATTGTGCTTGAATAATTTTTGTCGATTGTATTGAAAAAGAAAAAAAAAATGAACGTGCATAAAAAGAATTTAAGCCACTTGTATTTCATATTCAAGGTTGAACAGATCAAAAGAATTTTTATGTTGATTACATTGATAAATAAACTGTAACTTATACAAGATTTATAACTAGTTCCTTCCAATTAGAGTTGAATAGACAAAGATTTTGTTAACTCTGTAAAAATTTTACTAAATCACACTGATTTAGTTAAAATTCACTAATTTTTCACTATCCTGAGATATTCAAAAGAAGCAATTTCACTTTTTTCTAATATCTTGATGTTTTCAAGTGGTTTCAATTTCACCATGTTGTATCTGCCCAGATACCTTTTCAATGTATATATATTGTAGAAGAAACAAATATTGAAATATATACATATACTTCTGTGTATTGAAAAAAAATTCCAAATTTTTTTCATATCTTGTTGAAGTGTTAATTAAACTCGTCTCTATTTCTTCAAAATTTTTTTTTTTTTGCTTTTTTTCAAAATAATAATAATAGGATGGAATTGTGGACATAGACAGTCTACAGGCTTTCTCTATGAACAAATGGAAACAAAAAAATGAAAAATGTCTAATTATTCCCGAGTTTTGAATGCCGCCGGAAATACATTTTTGCATGATAAGACATTGTCACCGTTACTTTAATTGAATAGTATTGCTTATGACAAAAAAAAAAAAGAAATATATACACTATTCATTCTTATCAAGTTTCACATTTCCAAATGCTACATATATGATATATATATATACGAACATATTATCGACGGTTAATAAAGCGTTTGATTTCAATTGTTAATGACAAAAGAAATACTTCATTTAACTAAAAGAAAAACATATAGGCAATCACATTCATTACTCAAAAACAAAAACCAATTATCAATGCTAATAAGA